TTATTTCTTTTTAGTGACAATTCTGTCATCTTTGACTGGGAGATGTTTAGGTCAGTTTTTTCTTTTTTTCTAAAGAGATCAGGGGAGTCTAGATGGTGAAGTAGGTAGAGAGAAGTATTATTGGACAGGTGCTTCGGCCTTTGATGTGCCCTCAGCTGGAGATTCTTGCAGAGTCTGTCTTCTAGGGATTTCTTAGCTGGTCTAATCCTTGTTAACTGCCACCCAGCCAGCCCGGCCAGCCCGGCCAGCCTGGTGCCTCGGGAGGTACCTGGTTGGGATGGAAGATGGGGAGATGTGCCTTTGTGTCATCTGCTCCACCTGCGGATCCTAGATAACACTTCCAACGTTGTTGTGATGCGAACTGCCTTATGTAAATATAGGAATGTAGCTGGAATATAGAAGCAGATAACTTACAGCAATCAGGAGCCTTTTCTGGTGGCCATTTGAACTTCCTTTAAATAGGAATGCTGGGTAATCAGTGCAAAATATGGAACCCTTTGTTAAAATGTTAGCATCATTAAAGTTGTTGGTGAGTGTTTGCCAAGATACAGTTCCATGCGAGACAGTGTATAAACAAATTAGGAAACAGAATTTGGAAGACCCGATCTCCTTATATGTAATACACACTAATTCCACATCAATGATTAAGGCCTGGCCCACGGCTCAGTCTCTGAGAGAAGGTCAGAGGACAAAGGTCAGAAAGTAGTGTTAGTATGGCATGGACTCTGTGCCTAAAGGAAGCAGTGTGAGGGTCAGGAGCCTGCTCTCAAGGGTCAGAGACAAACTTATAAAGGAAGATACAGCCAGCAATCGCAAAAACCTGGTTGTTTTTATAGTTCTATTTTTTCCTTTCTCCCTCCCATTGTCCTGCTCATTAACAATTTGGAGTAAATCCACTAGCCACAAAGAAAAATGCAATTTTAAAACTTTAATATAATCATAAGCTGTAGTCCTTATTGTTTTGCCTTCTGAACTTTTATCTGTGAAGTCATTTTTTATAGCAGAGGCTAAATATTGCCCTCAACTATGGAGTTTAATGAGTGTGAATTTTCATTCAAGCATTAAAATCTCCAAGAGTGTTTTTATACCAATAGTCTCCAGCTCAAGACAATTATAGGCTAAGCAGATCCCAGTTCCTTCCCTCATCCATCTCCCCGTTACCGCTAAGGAGTTTGGAAAGAATCTGCCCGACTATAGGAACATCCAGCAATTAAAAAGTGTCACAGACCCATAAATAAAAAAAAAAATCACCCACCCCCATGGCTGTCATCTTATCACGACACCTGTTTCTGCCGAGCAGGACAGAGACAGGAAGGAAATGCAGACACAAGTTTAGTGTGGAAGAAGCCAAACCAGACCAAGCCAGTGTCACAAAGTCGGCCTCTCTGCCTCAGCAGTGGGGGGGGGGGGGGGGGGGGGGGGGGG